AGTATTATCATCATGTTAGTCGCTTGCTCTGTTTTCCACTCATAGATCAAGTATGTTTATTGTCGTTAAGGTTATTGATGTGCTACTGTGATCTTATCTGTTTATGCATATGTAATGTTCAAATTTCATGTCTTAGGGAAATCAGCATCATCATTAATCATGTCTAATGAGCCTTGAAAGGACCACATCCTTTCAAAGGGGGGAATATGTTTGCGCTGCAAACGAATTTATGTTGTGTGTTTCTGTTATCATTTTCATGTGCACGTATCAGTGCGTTCCACAGTTGCAGCCTTCGTCGGCTGATGCTTATCAGGCATTCGTGTGCGACCGGCCAGCTGTGGAACAATTATCAATGTTTTCATTATATTTGGTTATGTTAAAAACTTTAAGTTGTGTTTCGAGTAGTCATGCTTTCAGTGTCATAAAGTTCACAATTGTTTTGTTATCGGTTATTGTTTTAGTGTGGTGACACTGAAAGTCCGTTCGTTTTTGTGTTGCTCTATTGTGCCTCCAGGACATCGTGCGGGGCCTTTGACTTCACTTTTTGTACTCCGAGCCGAGCGGTTCAATTATTGTTTTTCGTTGTTGTCTCGTCATGTTTATGATGAGCTGTTTGCAGTCGTCCAAAACCACGTTGTTGTAAATTTGTGTTTAAGTTTCTGGTAATTATCGTTCTTAGCAATTTGTATTGCCACCACTAATTTGTGTTTAAGTTACAGGATGGTCAAAATTACCAAAGATTTGTGTTGTGAATCAACGTGTTTTTGTGTACCTCATTGCTCGTGGGAACAGTAGTGCGAACACTAGAAATCCTGTTCCGGCTGCATTCAATGTATTATTGTTATTGAAGTCATCGTCAACAGTTGCTGGCACACACCCGAACGTACGCAGGGTCAATTTGTCTTTATTGTAATTTAGTGATATACTTACAGGCCCTGGTGCGGTAACGTGGGTGTAAAACCAGGTGTGTGTCTCAACTGTTATGTGAGTATTGGTCGACCAGATATATGTGTGTATGACCGACGGGTCTTAAAGTAGTAAACATCTCATTATTATGTACTGTTAGTCATTAATGCATATTATTTATTAATTGTATTCCATTGTATATTACAGCCGTTCAGGCCTGATTCAATCATATGTTATTATTATTATTATTATCATTATTATAGCCAAAGAGGCAAATGAAATTATACTTTATATTGTTACTATTATTATTATTATTATCATTACTGTGCCAAACGGCAATAAAAATTTATTATAAAATACAGTCCACATTTTTATTTACAACGACAAGGCTGTTCAATATCATTTTGTTCACCTTAAGCGTTACCAAATATTAAATACTATATACATTTGTAACTAGGTATATAAAAGTGTCTATTATTATTTATTATCGAATCTAAATGACTAAATGACACATTGACACGTTAATGGCTTCATTGCTTTATTTAAATTTGCAATAAATTATGTATGAACGAAATTGGAAGAAGTTTATTAGGTATCTCAAATCGATAATTATGTACTGATTAGAATAAAAGTATAAACTACTCGTATACTTCTTATAAGTTATATTATACAGTAATAATATATCCTGGCACAAAATTTCAAAAATTAATTTGAATAAATCCATTAGGTATTAAGGGGATGTTACAGTGGCATTTGTTGTCTCCGTCTCACAAGTGCGTAACATAGCAAATTTTACGCTCAGCAAATATACGTTTATCTCCCGTTAGTGTAAAAATTAGAGTGAATTGACCTCTCATAAAATTTAAAGGTAAGATTATTATCTAGCAATGACATATAGGCTTTTTAATATTTTTTAATTTTAAAGCGAGGTATGAGTATTTTAAAATGTACAAACAGTTTACAATTTTAAAATACACATAACTAAGGGAGATAAACGTGTTTTGCTGAGTGTAAAATTTGCTGTTACGCACTTGTAAGACAGAGAAAACAAATGTAACTGTAACGGCCCCCTTAACATGTGGGAAATATTCTATATTATAAATAAATAACATGGTGCATTGGTGCGTATTTAAACTTAATTAAGTAGGTGAGTAGAGGATTGCTGAAGTAAATTTCTAATATGAATATTGAATTATTTCATCAAATTATAAACGCAGTAAAATTAATTGCCTCAGTAAATTGCTCATTTGAATAGTGAATTGTTTCATCAAACTATCAAAGTGTCAAATATATATGTGAAATTGACTACGGCCTCAGTATCTATACAATAAATACTGATACAATGGTATAGGTACATAATATTACTATATTAGTATAATAGTATATTAATTTATTATAATAATTAATAGTGCATACCGTTGACTGAAATAATGCAAATGTCACCGAGGTTATTCCATGTAAATAGTCCATAATTATAAGTGTGCTAAACAGTTTACGTATATTTGTTACATAACTGCAAAACAAACAAACGTCAACCATTACAATGATTGTATAAATATATAGGTAGGTAGTTTAAAAGTAGGTAGGTAGGTACTAAATAATAAATTAACATATTCATAGTATAGCCATATATTTACAATTACAGTTGTATGTAAAATTTCTAATATGTACACATATTTATACATACTGAAGGATTAGAATGTGATGTTTTACACATTCTCGGAGAGTCGAGTAGTAGCGTATTTGTTGTTTTTCAGTATACATTGAAATCTGATTGGTACACAAAGAATTTTCAGCTGTAAAAATCGTGTGTTAAAAGTGTAAGATGGACAATCTATTTAAAACTAACGATGATACTATTATTTTGATAAAATTGAATACAATATTCATTGTAATCATTGTAAAGATAATTTAAATCGAACCTCGAAGGGTCAGCTATACAGGTTTACTCCAAAGTTATATCCCCTGTCATCTCTTACAGACTCTTTAAATGATTATTACAATAATAAACTATAAGTACTTGTCGGAAATTCGATAATTATTATTTCTTGGATATTACAATAACATTTTTCGAAAAGAAAGACATTATATTGTATTCGTATAGTTGTGTGCATGAGGTTGTCAAAAATGTTTCACCTATATAGATGTTTTATATTGTAATCATTTTTACCATTATGGCAAAAATGTTTTTGTTTTTATAGCATATATTTAGTAATACAGGGACTAGGGAGTGGTAACGATTCAAAATATCAATTTAATTGCATAATAGTTTAAACTAATTAAAAACCACTTAAGCTATAAAATATTAAGTGGCATTATAATCCATTAAATACATCTAAAAGCTTTATACTTTGATATTTATTTGAAACATTTAACTTAATAGTGACGTATTGGAAGGCAAATAAAGACTTTTAGGTACCTACTCTGTCGGATTTTTTAACTGCCTTTAGTAAAAAACATAAGTTGCTCACTCAAAAAAGTTACATCTCAATATCAATAAGAGACTTGTAAAAACATATGTAAGGAGTGTTGCACTTGCAACATATGGAAGTGAAACTTGGGTAATAAATGATATCGAAAAGAAAAAAACTATAGAAGCCTTCGAGATATGGTGTTGGAGACGTATGGAAAGGAATAATAGTTGGATAGAGCGGAAAACGAATGAAGAAGTACTTAGAACTGTGGGAGAAAAAACGTACACTTGTAGATACGATTAGAGCAAGACGCTAGAAAATGGTTTCACATGCCCTGAAACACCCAGGAAAATTGCATAATATAATATTAGAGGGTATGATAGAAGGAAAGAAAGCTGCAGGACATCCCAGGAATTCTTATATAGAACAAATTAAATGGGATGCAAAAGTCAAAACCTTCATGGAACTTAAAGAAAAGGCGAGTAATCGGTTAGAATGGAAAATTGGAGTTGTAAACCAATCTTCGGGTTGAAAAAAAAAATGATTTCTTAATAGACTCCAAATTTCGTCTTTCTCTTTTTACAAAAATAAAACTTACAAAATTGAATTAAATTATAAAGGTAGTATTTTTATTTTATATATTGATTGGACTATTGGATGAATGAATGTTCCTACCCATCTATAGTATTTCAATGGTACCTATGTTGTTTTTTTTATAGGTAGGTACTATGAGCCAAAAGGAGCCGAAATTAGAAATTCCCAGACATTTTTAAAGTAATCGGGAAAAACTAAAAACGGAAATATTAATTATATGTTACATTACATAGTTTTCGACCAAATTGATTAAAATTTTTTTTATTTTTCAAAAACGAATAACATTCACTTTTTTGATAAACATTTATAACGGCATTTTCCAGACATTATATTATAATTTTGAATACAATTTTCATTAGACACTATTATTGAAATGTTCAACTTTTTATTTTCTTACCGATTTATGTTGATGACATATTTGTTTATAAGTAGTAAAACCTTGAAAATGTTATATAAGATTTTAGATTGGTTACCTACTTACGAGTTTTTCTTACATCGATTCAACAATATTTAAAATATAATTTGATACGTGGTAATATTAGTTTAATACTATTTAGTATTTATAGGTACTTACATTGTGCCAAAATGATTTCGTTATTATTTAGAGATGTATTTAGTAATTCAATTTGACCGCCTATAGCATAAATTGCTCCAAAAAAATACGTATCAATTCCCAAGTATACGTTTACGATGAACACTAATGCAATAGACTGGCAGACAAAAACCACTAAAAACATCCAATTTTCGTTCAACTCGAATGGTAACCAACAGGTTAATGGGTAGGTTCTTGGATCATTGTAGTATTGAAAATATGATCGATCACTAAATTACGCACAATATAGGTAATTATTAGAATAATTGTGTACAAAAATTGCGTCGAACGCATATATATTATAATATATCATGCGCCATACAACCCGGGGTACCAGTGTACCACCCGTTGTAGGTATATCAGTATACGGCACGCATGTAATATGCATAATAATATTATATATTATATTTTTCTCTATTAACAGGAGCAAGTTCATAGCTATAATATATTTATAACATTAGGTGTAGATAATGATAAAGATATTTTTATTCACTTTACCCCTTTGGATAGGTCAACAAGGGGCTGACGATGATGAAAGAAGCCGCGACCATACCGCTGAACAGATACCAGGAGCTGATTTTTCGCGTTTGCTTTAAATAGTTGGCCGTAAACTCGTCGGCCGAGCGGCCGTAAGCCGCAGATCCTTGAGTTTGTATTTGCGTCAGTGCTGTTTTTAGCTGGGCAAATTCGCCGCTAAACATCACCATGTAAAACCATTTGTAAAGGCCCGTGAAGAACATGGTCCAAATGTCAATGGTCCTTGCCAACAGTGTTAGATCGGTAGCGATGAACATCTGGACCGTCATCAGAAACGTGACCAAGGCCAAGAAAATAAAAAAGATTGTCCGGTAAAAGTTGAAAGCCCGCTGTGTCCATTTCGTCCATTTCGTCGAAGGAAACACGCCGATAGCCTGAAGTACATTGTACTCAAACGATAGATAGTCACTATTCTGCATTTACCTGAATGAGTATTTTTTATTATATTATTGTCATATAACCGAACAAACGACGTTAGTTCAGCTTATGAGGATCGTAATACTACGATGATGACCATCATCGCAGTCGTCTGCGACATAAATATATATTTTGTAACATATAAACCATATATTATGGGCATTATCTTTGTATTATAGGTATTAACTGTGTATCATGAACTTTTACCCGAAATATTGTTTCTTCGATTTTCTATGCATTGGTTTAATACTATAATAGCAGCTATTTCTACTATATCCACTTTTATTTTTTATTAGACGTAATAATATGACAATGCCAAACAAATTATTGTTTAAGAAATCTAAACTATACATTTGCATATATAATAGCATAATCATTATAGACCATCTGGCATCTATTATCTAATAATATATATATGCTTATGTATATACTAACATAAAGTCGGTATAATATGGGTAGGTATACTTCAATATTTAGGTATATAAATGTCTATTGGGCGCATATAACAATTTGTACCTTTTTATACATAAATAAATATTTATTATTATTTTTCATTTTTCATTATACAATTTACAATCTGTTACAATTTAGATTTTTGAACAATAAGTAAAAAAGATGGACGATTTAATGGTCCCAAAAATTACGGATTTAAGAAGCCTTCCATTGAGGGTATAGGTACTTAGTAAATAAATATATATAAATAGAATATTATATATTAGGTACTTAGCTGACATAAATCAATAATGTAACTCTGTTATTGTGGATCTATAGTGTTTGAGAGGTCAATTGACTCTCAATTAATATTAACATTTCCTGATGACCTGATGAAATTGTCCATTTTTTGGGCCAATTAAATATTATACTATCTACATTGAGCATTTGAAGTATTATTGTATATAAGTAAACTTAAACCACTATGTTTTTCTCTTTTTTTACTTATATTGATTATAATATTAAAATTTTTCTTGATACCCACTTAATTAAAGTTCCTTTAAAAACGCATTAAATTCTTTTAAGTTTTTTATAAAGATTCCCATCTGCTGAATGTTTTACAGTAGTACTGTAGTAGTCGAGTGTACCTCGCATTGAGTAAGCTACTGCTACTGTGATGCGATTACATTCAATTTCAATAATTCAACGGTAAATCATTGCGAATATTATATGAATAATAATTCTGAACAAAAACCGACAGTTATATTGCTATAAACTATAATCTATAAAGCATATTCAATTGAATTATTTATTTCGAAAACATTGCATTTGTAAATGTCATTGTGTGTATATATAATATCACAATATACGTGAAAGTTTCAAATCCCCACGAACAATATTTTTGAAATTCAATAAAATAACTAAAATCATTATTTTTAGTTTAATTCTCTATAATGTTGTCCAAATTTAAATTTGAAATGTCTATAAAAATATCTTAGATTTATGGGTTCCAATAAAAAATACTTAGAAACCTTTTTCTTCAATTATCGTGCGCCTTAGCTATGAAAATTGAACATTTTATATACATTTTTACAACAAAATAGTTTAAAATTTTTGTAATTTTCACAATTTTGCCAATTTTGTTCAAAATTTGAACTTTAAAAAGTAATTTTAAAAATCGTTTATATATTATATAGGTATATCTTTAATAGTTTAAAATAGATATAACAAGAACTTATGAGGAACCTTGAAGGTATTGAATTTTCCAGCATTTTGATCAAGAAAACCAATTTTATTTTTTTATTGTTTTACATTATTGTTTTTCTATAAGTTATTTATATAACTTCAAAAATTTCAAAACTATAGATAGCTCTAAATGAGTAAAAATATTATGAAAATTAAACCATATTTATATTTATTTTATTTTATTTTAAAATCTTAGATTTAAAAAGAAAAATTTTACGAATTTTTAACTAAAAATAATTTGCTAATTTTCGTGATTTTTCCATATTTTGTCAATTTTTGAACTATTAAATGCTTATAAAAAAAAACTGTGACTAAGGCATTTTAATATTTTTCATCTGCCTTTGAAAAAATTAACTAGGAGCCTTCTATTAAATTTTCAAGATTTTTTTAACCAACAAATACAATTTTATTGATATTTTTAGAAAAAAAACTAAAAAAAAAGGAAAATGAAAATGTCCCTAAACAGTTCAAAATAATCAAAATATTTTGAAATGTAATAGTGTATAGAAAATGCAAATATAAACAATCAGTGAAAATTTCATGTATCTACGGTCATTTGTTTTAAAGTTACACCAAAATCCAAATTCAAAATGTGAAAAATCAATTTTGCGTAAAAATTCCTGTTTTTCCTTAATTTTTCTTTTGTTTTCCTTGGCGCTTTTGAAAATTACTGGGAATTTCAAATTTTGACCTCCACATTGCACCAACGATATTCACTTTCCAATCGAACAAGATATTGAAGTTGAAAATCGAATTATTATTTCGACTACTTATCGTGTACACAGACACAAAAAAAAAATTAAAAAGAAATTAAAAAAAAACACACATCATGTAAAATCAATATTCAAAACATTCATCCTTCCACTCAGAATCTAAAATTTAGTAATGATTAAATCTTTAAAAGGCGTGATAATGTGATATGAATATATGATATGGAAATTAAGTAAAATGCCATTTTATAATATTATAAATACCTATGATGACAAATCCACTACAGTACCTATTAACAGTAATTAATACTACAGTATTAATAATGTATCAACAATATGTTGTATAATAATAGATAAAGATTATCTACCTTTATCAAAAAAAAAAAATTTCAATAAGAAAGTCAAATTAAATTATTATGAGTGTTTGAAATTCAAATTTTTACAACTAGGATATTCACTCGATTTCTCATGTAGGTAGCGATTTCTTTATTTTGTTGTAATTCAAAAACGAATAACTGTAGATACATGAAAATTTCACTGAATGTTCATATTAGCATTTCCTATACACTGTAAAATTTTGAAAATATTTTTACTCTTTTTGAGCTGTTTACGGACATGGACAGTTTTCAATTTTTTTAGTTTTTTTTTCTATAAATATCAATAAAGTTTTATCTGTTGGGCCAAAAAGTGTAAAAATTTAATACAAGGCTCCTGATATATTGTTACAATATCAGTTGACAAATATTAAAAAAACATAGGCACAATTTTTTTTTATAAGCATTTAAAGATCGAATTTTGACAAAATTTATCAAATTTAAAATTGAAACAAGATTATACCCAAGTAGTTAATTCTGTTACCAAAAAAATCTAAAAAATATATAAGCAAAATTTTATTTTTATAGTCATTTTAAGTTCAAATTTTGACGAAATTACATAATAAAAAACCTAGAATAACTATTTTAGTTATTTTGTTGTGATTTTATAATATTATTCGTGGGTACCTACTTGTAATTTCTAAAGTACACTATTATATTATATCTATCATAGTATCAGGGTTTGTTGTTGATGTATAACGCGTTATAAGTACCTATTGGATATTGTGATATGATTAATTTGGAATTTATTATAGGTCAATTTTTTTTAATACTATAGATAAGTATATAATATGTGTATATAAGTATATAAATATATAAGTGTTTTTGGTGTGATAAAATTAACATCCCGTATACCAATGTTCTTATACCACAGATTATATAATCCGTGCTTATGTGCTCTGTTCGAAGATAGTAGCTTATCTATTTTTCTTAGTCTGATAAGTTAAAATTAATATTTATAAATTTTACATTTTTAAACATAATGTATATTATACAAACATTTTAATTTATATATAGTCATTATAGTCGTCACTTGTCATACAGATCACAGAGTATAAATAACTGTATAAACTAAAATAACTAAATACATATTATCGAACATCAGAATATAATATGATATTATAGGAAAATTAGTTATTCTACAAAATTACAAACAATGTGTAGGTACTGTTTTATTTTTATAAACCATTTTATCATATAGACGGAAATCAGAATATAATAAATAAACAAAAATATTTATTTAAAAAAAAAGAAATGTTGAAATTATTAAAATTGCAACCAAGATCTATTGTTCGAACAATTGCAACTCTCCAAAATAATTTACCAGTTCAACAAAACTTAACAAAATATTTTCAAGATAAAATACGTATAAATGGCCCAATTACACTAGCAGAATATATGCGAGAATCATTAAAAACTTACTATAATAGTGGAAATGTCTTTGGTTCAGATGGGGATTTTATAACATCTCCTGAAATTAGTCAACTTTACGGAGAAGTGAGCAATCAATAATATTATTCTAAATTAAAAATTACGTTTATCTTTTGTCCGTTTTATTATTTTAATGTTTAAGTTTAACTTTTTTAATGTATATATTTTATGTGAACAATGTTTATAGATGGTCATGCTATGGTTGTTAAGCTTGTGGGAAAAAGCAGGGTGTCCATCTCATGTGAATTTAATAGAACTTGGACCTGGAACCGGAGTTATGATGACAGATATGTTAAGAGTAAGGTTACATTGTAGCTATAATCTATTACTTATAAAACAATAAACTAGTTTTAGTAAACAATGTCTAAATATCACATTTTTATAAACACATAATAATTATTTATAAAATAAGAATATTATACACAATTTTTTGATACAGAAATTCTGGCTTCCTAATTGAAAGATTAAATATTCCTGTCATAATATAGATTCTTTAAAACTTTTTTTTTTGTGGTTAGTATTCCTCTAGCAAAACTGTTTCCCCAAGACTCAATTCGACTCTATAATACGGTTATTTATTCTAAATCCTGGCTTATTGTATTTTTCACATTAAATTATTAGCTTAAAATATCTATGTTGAAAAATATATTTGAAATAAAATAAATAACTAATTGGGTGTAAAAATAAAAAATAAATAAATATAACTAAATAAAGTTTGTACCAGTACCAGCACTCTGCACTAGCAAGTACCAAATACCTACTGCCTTGTTTTGGTTATATTATTTAGCAAGAGATAAACTACAATTTTCCATTGTAACTAACTCAAAATGTCTTACTTTGAATCTTATTTTTTACAAGCATTTACTGTATATTTACAAACATTGATTTTTATCCTTAATAAGATTTATTCTAGATTTAAACATTTTTACACGTTCTAACAAAATTCTAAAATGCATGAATATTGTTTCAAAAAATGTTAAATATTTTTTATAGGCACTGACAGATTTTATAATATTATAGTTGTGCTTAAGATTTTCCTTTCTGACTGGAGCCTATTATCATAACTCAAGTGTTAATTTTCTAATTATTAAATAAGCATTTTATTTGTGTATAAAAGTTGCATTGATCGTAGCAAATTTTCTTTTTATTATGAAAATTAGTGATTTACAATTAATTAAAAATTGTATATGAAGTACCTATTAGTATTGATTATAAATAGTACTATTCAATATCAATTGATAAATGATAATCAATGCTATTAGTAATTTTTTAAATTTTTTTTTGTTTTTCAGTTATTAAAACAAACTCAATACAGCTCACTTGACCTTACCATACATATGGTAGAAACAAGTAAAAAATGTAGCCTAGAACAAGCTGATAAACTAGGATGTTCAGATTTACAGACAGATTCAGGCAAATGTTATTATCAACACGGTATAACATGTGAAAAATATGGAATGAAAGAGATATTCTGGTATGAATCAATAGATGATATCCCTAGAAATACATTTAGTTTGATAGTTGCTCAAGAATTTTTTGATGCTTTACCTGTACATAAATTCAGGGCAAGTATAAATTATTAAATATTTAAGTTTATAGCTGTGATTATTTATTTACTTTCCTATTTAGAAAATTAATGAAAAATGGCGTGAAATAGTAATAGATATTGAAAATGATATAAGTGGAACATTTCGTTATGTCTTAAGTAAAACATCTACAACTACATCAAACTTAATATCCACAGTATGTTGTTTAACTATGTATGGATAAAATATGTAAAAACATTTTAATAACAAGTTGTTTTTATTAGATAGAATATTATAAATGTTTAAATCTTAAAAATATTACTGAAATTGAAGTTGGTCTGGACGCAGCTATTGTGATGCAGAAGCTAAGTGAGAGAATAATACTGGATGGTGGAATATTTCTATGTATTGATTATGGTCAAGATAAGCCAATAATTGATACCTTTAGGGTAAGCTTTTAAAAAACATTAAACGTAACAATAATAAATGTTTATATATAGGCTTTTAGCGGACACCAACAAGTTAATCCATTACATAATCCTGGAAAAGTAGACTTGACAGCAGATGTTGATTTTAGTAGATTAAAAAATGTTGCTGGAACCGATGTCTTGGCTTTTGGACCAATTGGCCAAAATATATTTTTAGAGAATATGATGATTAATTTGAGATACCAAGTAATTTAAGAAGATAATACTTATTGTAATAAAATTAATTTATTGTATGCTTACAGAATTTACTGACTTTAACAAAAAATGAAAAAGAAGCAACATCACTTACATTTGGCTATAATAAATTAATGGAAATGGGTAAAAAATTTAAAATAATGGGAATGGTACCAGCAACAATGGCACCATTATTAAATGATTTTCCAGTTAGTGGATTTGGATTATATAATTCAACAAAAAAAACAGAATACTATTGAATTACAAAACTAACTAATTTAAATTAAAAAACCAACACATACATTGTATTCTTAGAGAAAAATAATTTATAATCTTTCAAACTCTGACCTATTCTGTCAATTTTTGTTGTTTTATTAAGTTACAAATAATTAAACAGCAAATGTAATTAAAAACTAGAGATGTATACATTATATTATATCATCAATTAAGTAATAATTAATAAAAACCTGACCTCAATACGCTTTTTTATAACTATTGCAAGCCACTTCAAAAATATTACACATCAATGCAAATAGTCTAACAATGTCAACCTTCATGAGTACACTGATAAATTATAAATTATAATCATATTGTTCTGCATATTTTAATATTGAAAAAATAAGTTTTTTTTTAAATTAATATATTTTAGCTATGAATAAAAATAATTTGTTAAAAGATTGACGATTCTTTACAACTAAAAAGCATAGTTGAGGCATTGACATGAAAAAGGTACTAAGTCATAAAAACCAAATTTTACAGGAGAAGGAAAAAACTGTTTTTAAGACCACGATGACTTATGGCCAGTGCCATCTTGTGTTCAACATCATTTTCAATGGAAAAACGAAAAATTTATTTTTTTTACTTTGTACCTTTTCCATGTCAACGCCTCAGTTATGTACTGAAATAGTTAAGTACTGGATCAATTTTGTCATAGGCTATTAAAAGGTTATCTTACATGTATGGTTTGTCTTAACTTCAAGTGTGTAACATAGACAATTTACATGTAGAAATTCTTATTTGGCTTCATTATTTTTAATGTAAGAGGAAATCTATCTATTATTAAACTTAAAGGAAACAACATATTCCGTGGTTTGTTAGAAATTGTTTTTAATGTTTTACAAACTTATAACTCACTTCAAGATTAAAATACTAAAAGACACTCCCAACAAACAAAAAATGTATGTGAGACATCCTCTTAAGAAGTTAAAAACCAAAAGGTGTAGATATACACAATTTACAAACCCACTAAAGCAGGGGTCGGCAATTAAATTCTATGACTGTCTAGATAATTTGGAAAAAATGTTCGAGGGCCAGAAAAACTTAATATTAGTTGATATTTAATGTATTTATTTTTGTGTTAAAAGTACTGTTTAAGGTGTTTAAAGTAAATTATTTAATACAATGTAATATTAGCAAGTTTTTTTGAAATTTGGTACTCTCGGAAATAACTATAGGGCAGGGTTTTCAAGGTGGAGTTCAATTAATACTTACTTAATATTATTGTTAATATTGTTCAAGATTAAGGGCCAGTTGTACCGCCTACGATTAAACTATGATTAAGCTTAATCAGCTGATAACAGATATTTAAACGGGCAAATTCGGCCAATTAAACTCTGATTAACCATAATCATAGACAGTACAACTGGCCCTAAGTCACTTAATCTCGAACAATATTTATTCTTTAAAAACGTAATTTTAGAGAAAGACTTTTCACACATGGTTGTGGAGCCAAAATACATCATAAAAATAGATCAAATATCTGTTTAAGTGCGGAAAACCAACATAAAAATAATTATTTTGATGGTCGCATCTGCCGGCCGGATTTTGGCCTACTGCCGACCCCTGGACTAAAGTGTTAATTATATGCATAAGTGTCAAGACAGTGTTAGGTATTCAGTAAATTATGATATTAAAAAATGCAAATGCTATTATAGTGCATGCTGAATACTTAATTGTTTTGTCACTCTAATAATGATAATATACTAAAACTAATTTATGATACATGATATGAAATGGATATTAACTTATATAAATATCTAGTAAACATATTAAATAATCAAATTTTATATATTTGTTTTTGAAAAATAACATCATTATATTAAACATTTGTTTTAGATAGAGATTACCAATTTTTTTTATGTTCATCCATTGAGACTCCGCCAGGTCCTCTGAGTACGATCATTAATAAGCCTCCAATCACCGAAAGTGTCTAAACGTAGAAACAAATTAGTGAAGCACGAAAAATAATGATAAATGTTTGATATATTAATATAATTACTTGGAAGAAGTCATATTTTAGAAAATCACGGAGAGGTTTTGTTTCAGGTATTGTCCACCAAGCATTATAATAGAAATTTAAACTTGTTAAAAACAAAACAAGCACTAAAGCACTAAGTTTAGTTTTGTAACCAATGAAAACTAATACCATCATAATAGTTCCTAAAACGTCTTGAACCAGCTACACAAAAAGTTTAGGTGTTAATTAAAGGTATAATATGCAAACAATAATATGGTATCTTAAAATAAAAACCTGGAAAAATGATAATTCATATTTTAATAATGTAATGAACATAAATGCAATCAAGCATCTTCCCGTCAGTTGCATATAATTTTTTTGTTTGTTTTCTCCTTAAAAACAATAAACAAATTAGTTTTTAGTTCTGTATTTTAATAAAATTGCAAGTTACCCAATGATGGAATACCAGCCAAAAGAGACTTTGACTCTACTTCACTATCAGCAAGAACTAATAATAATGCTCCAATTAAGGCAAAATTTCTTAACAAAAAATGAAAATCCCATAAAATGCTGTATGCTACCGTCTAGATATAAAAATAAAATACATTTTTTAATGCATTTGATTCATATGAAAAGTATAAGCATTATAAGTTAAGGATAAAAGAGTATGATAATCTTAATTCATATTGAAGTACTATCAATAAGCATATCAAGTCTGAATAAAAATTACAAAACTATATGTTAAGCAATGCTGCTGGCTTACTTGCAATACAACTATAAAGAATAATATTCCGCAAGCTATTCGAACGTGTTTTTGTAGTAAAATAAGTATACATCCACCCAACTGTCCAACTAAATTAATAAGAACAAAAACTGTAGCTAAAAACATTCCACAATTCCAAGACATGTCCATGTATCTGCTCTGTTCTGACCATTGAAAATACATTCGTAGGCCATCTTCTATAAATGTTGATATCAAACATAACCGAGAAGCTGTTGGTAAGTAAGCGTTACAATTTTTAACGACCTATGAAAATGATGTGTCAATTAAGAGTAGTTTTTCAATTTTTATATTTAATTTCACAATATAGTATTATAATGTATTTATTGTAAGTAATTACCAGTTCTGAAATATCTTCTGCTTTGTCAATATAGTTTTTGGGTATGAATGCCATAATAGTATACAAAAGTAGAAAACAAATAAACTCCAATAAATTATCTAATATTAAAATATTATACTAACATACACATAATTTATTATTACAAATAACATGAAAGTAGGTCTACAGTCTAATGAAAAATGTAAAATTGTTTTTTAATATTTGTTTTTTGAAAAATGTTCATGTTGATGATGTGATCGATCGGAAGATAGTAACGTTTTAGTTATCGACGTCATTCATTTTTGCACATTTGTCATTATGTCATCTTTAATTGTAAATATTCTAACGAAGCAAAAATGTAATAATGGTGCAACTCCAATTATAATTAATTCCGTTCTACCTATTTATAATAAACTCGAATCTACTTCAATTGGTAATTTATTTTTTCAAAAAATTTAATTATTTATAAGCAGAAAATATTTTGATTTTGAATATAACATCTTACTTATCAACATATTTATTGTTATCAGCTATAAAATAAATATCATGATAATTGGTAATTACCAATTTGACATTTGGATTTTGGACATTCAAAAGAAGTTTCTAATATTAATGTATGTTATATAACAATTGTTTTTACTTTTTGTGATCGTTACATTTTAAGGATAAATTAGTTAACAAAATTACATCTTACATCAATTTTACATCCGAATTCGAAAGGTAAAAGTTCAATAACTAATGTCTATCAGCCGTATCAGGTATATGGTTTTCAATACAATTGCCTCTACTTGATTCAAAACATTTTGATCAACAATATTATTCTCGTTTGAAATTCACCATTATTTTTCTTAACTCATTACATTTATTTTGTTCATGCTCGGGATTACAAACATCATAATTTCATTATGTGGTTCACGTTTTATTCCAATCGAAATTTAAAAATACCTTGGAGTTTTCATTTTGACTTTTGGCGTAGCAAATCAAATATATGTACATTAAGAAGGGGTAATATGGTCAATTTTGACGCATATGCATCATTTTTATTTATAGTGGTGGTGAATGATTAAAAAGTTGCTGTAATACTGTCACCATTTGTTTTAATTTGGTTATATTTGAATTGCCAGAATTCTTTCCACCATTGTTTATATGTTATTATTGTGTCTTGGTCTCTGTTTATTTTTTTTGTTTCCATCTACTTTGAGATTGATACATTATTGTTTGTTTGTTTTTATTCTTGATTTTTAAAAACAAAACCAATTTAACTATATTTTGACTATTTATTCGCATGCAATCTAATTTTTAAAAACATTGATTACTTTTGTTTTATTATTTTATATCAATTATATTTTTAATTAAAAACTTTAAATTATTGTATAATATATTAATCTATATTTATTATTCACTGACTTACGTATTTTTATATCTGTATATTTTTCAGGTTAAGGATCAAGATCTTTCAAAATTATTCAAAATGATTGAAATCACTTGTAATGATAGATTGGGAAAGAAAGTCAGAGTAAAATGTAATCCTGAAGATACAATCGGTGACTTAAAAAAATTAATCGCGGCTCAAACAGGAACTAAATGGGAAAAAATAATTTTGAAGAAATGGTACACAATTTTCAAAGACCATATTAGATTGGGAGATTGTATCCTTTTAATATTGGCATAAATATAATAATGTATATAATCTTTGATTCATGTTGTAAATAAGACATTGATTATTAGATATTATAGTTTTGTAATGTTAGGTGTAATTCTATAAAATAATTGATTCTAACTTTTAAGCCACTTTTAAATGGGTGGAAGAAATAGAGTAGGTAGTCTCTTTGTATGTATCAACAAATAAATTCCCTGTAACTCTCATTTCAACCTAAAAAATCTTGGATTTACTCTGGGAAAAAAAATTGCAGTAATTTTTCCAGGAAATGTTTTGTAAAATCCTGGTAAAAGTAAGTAGGTACTTAGGTGTGTTGCTGAGAATTAGATTTTCGCATATTCTCTGAGCTTTAAGTTTTGTTAAGTAGACCTACTTTAACCTACGTTATTTTGTGTTGTAGATCACAAAATTGTCTTAAAATAATATAACCCAATGTTCACCTTTGGCAGTCCGTAGTCAAAGCTGGGCAAGTTAGTCACTTTTTTCAATTAGTTAAAGTTAAGTTACTTTAATATAAAAAGTAACTAAGTTAAAAATTTAAAATACAAGTTAGTTTCTGAAATGTACCAAATTTATAACTTAGTTAATTTCGTGGCCAAACAAATGTGCGGTTGGTGGCTAAAATGTAATTCCTAAAATATCAGGTTTTAATAAGTCGGCGGAGCCACCAACCACACATTTGTTTGGCCCCGACATTTGTAGGAAGTTAGTTTGGTGAAAATAATAACTTAAGTTAGAGTAGAGGTAAGAAGTCAGTTTTTTTCAGTTGAAAATATAAATTGAAAAAAATGTTTTTTCAAATTTAAAGTATTACATAAATGAATTATTGAGTAGGTAGATAAGTAACTAACTTGAATTATTCGTGATGAATGAAAAATCAAATGTCAACTGATAATTTTATCAAATGTTTCAATAGGTAGGTATAACCTTAATTTCTAGGAATATCAGTCATTAGAATATACGAGAATATAGAAAGTTGAACAAAATAAAAAATTGAATAAATGATAAAAAACTAGTTAATATATTCTTTTAAAGAATTGGATTAGACTATTTTACACATTAAATTCAACTAGTTAAGTTACAAAGTTAATATTGATTAAAACTTACTTTAACTTTTTAACTAGTTAGTACCCAGCTTTGAATTTAGTTTACCAGAAAATTGTTAACGTTAAGGCGCGTCCACATTATGGCACTTGGCTTTCTTTGATCCGGACCGACACTCGTCAGGTTCGGCCTGGCCAGCCAGTTGGAAAAATTTTTCCAAATGGTACGTGCCAACAAAAAGTCCACATCACTCATGACAATGCTATTTGACAAAGTCAGATGGAATATAATGGCCTAGTGTGGGTGCGCCTTTATAGGTAGTCCCAAAATCTGATAAAAAAACTTTCTTTGTTTTCTGATTAAATTGTTTTTACAATATCAAAATTTGTGCTCTATTATTTGTCAGAATGTTAGTGGGTACATTCTTATTATAGTCTTGTCTTCAATAAACTTTAGTCTCACTTAAAATTATAACAAAAACTCACTAAGAGGACTCTACCCATACATTTGTTGTCTCCGTCTTACACACACACAACATAGTAAATTGTTGTTCACTAGTTTCAATAGTATGCTGTTAGTTTTGATACTAGAGTGCATTGATCTATTATAAAACTTTTAGGTAAGAACATTATCTGTGCTTATGCGTTGCTGATTTTTCCAAATTTTAATTTTCAAGCAAGATATGGCTATGTGAAATATCAAAAATTAAAAATGCTCATATCTCCCTTGAAAATTATAACAACTATTGAATAAAAGCCAACTCTTAAGCACAGATAATGTTATTATCTAAAAACTGTATAATAGGTCATTTCACTCTAATATAAAAACTAACAGCACACTATTGAAACTAGTGAATAAAAGTTTGCCATGTCGTACGTGTTTAAGACGGAAACAATAAATACATGGGTAGCATCCTCTTAACTAAAATCATTACCAATTTGATTTTATTTTTTAAAACAGTTTATACTTGGCATTACGGCTTTACAAATAAATAAATAATATGAGAATATATTTTATAACTGATAAGTATGTAGCTTATCATTTTAATTTAATAAGGAATAAAGGCTTCAACTACATAGTCATTAGCCTGTGTTTACAATATTTAAATTAGGGTAGTATATAGAATGTAGTATTAATTTGTCATAAAAATGTGGCTTTCTTCAAATGTAATATAATAGTGTTATAGTGTCATATAATTTTCCTTAATATTTTTACTTCAGATGAAATTCATGATGGAATGAACATAGAACTTTACTATCAATGAATATATGTAGTAAAAATGGACTGTACAATTTTTTTTCCTTTATACATAATACAATTTAATTAATAAAGATTACTTTTTGAAATAATGTTAATAATTTTATTCACTCATAGTTACATACATTTTATTTTGTTGTTTTAATGTAAAAAAAAATGTAGATTAATATTGTTATAAATAATTTTACATTAAGTTAGATTAATGTAGTCTAGATGCATTAACATTATTTGTGTGTACTGCTACTAATCCTTCTGAAAGTTCATATTGAGTACAATGTTCACTATTTAATAAATCTCGTATATGCTGAACAATCAAATCAATGGCCACTGCAAAAAAACAAAATTATTTGAGATAAATTATAACTTTTAATTACTTTAATAGTTTAATTTATTAATTTCTATATATTTATTTTGTAATGCTGCATTAAATTAAATATTTTTATTTGAATTGTAAATTTGAAAATAATAACTGGTTTGGTAACTGAAAATTATGGATTCCTTACTTAATGTTGAGGTAAACTTATAAATTTAATTTAATTTAAATCTATTTTTAGAATAATTTTTTTATATTACTGATTGTATAAAATAATTTAAAATATTAAACAACAGTTTTTTTTAACAACATAAAAATTTGTTGAATAAAATGCATACCGAAATTTTCTGCTCCCCTTGGTATAATAATATCCGCAAATTTTT